TTTTATATTATATTATATTATATTATATTATATTATATTATATTATATTATATTATATTATATTATATTATATTTTGTTATATTATATTTTGTTATATTATATTATATTATTTTATATTATATTTTATTATATTATATTATATTATATTATATTATATTATATTATATTATATTATATTATATTATATCATATCATATTATATTATATTATATTATATTATATTATATTATATTATATTTTGTTATGTTATATTATATTATTATATTATATTATATTATATTATATTATATTATATTATATTATATTATATTATATTATATTTTGTTATATTATGTTATATTATATTATATTATATTATATTATATTATATTATATTATATTATATTATATTATATCATATTATATTATATTATATTTTGTTATATTATATTATATTATATTATATTATATTATATTATATTATATTATATTATATTATATTATATTAGATCTATTAGTATCTATTATATATTATATTAGATCTATTAGTAATGACAAGTGTGATAAAATAACAACAGTATATTATTTGGAGTTGTGATTTACAACTCTAATATGTGTGTGTGTGTGTGTGTGTGTGTGTGTGTGTGTGTGTGTGTGTGTGTGTGTGTGTGTGTGTGTGTGTGTGTGTGTGTGTGTGTGTGTGTGTGTTCTGTCTTCTTTGATTCCCTATAGCGTAAGCGCATGCACAGAGCTGATATGTGGCTTTGGGTTTTTCATGTGTGGTTTTGAGATGAAGGTCTTAAGATGTTATCACGTACAGCTGATGTGGTTTCTCTGCTTATCGCTGCGCCATTCAGTGACTCTTCAACTTTCTCCTTCACAGAGTTCACGAAAAACTTTGGTGTGAAAGCCGTGATGAAGACCTCTGTCCTGCTCACATGGGAGGTGCCAGAAACATACAAGTCTCAAGTGCCTTTCAAGGTGATCTTTGCATGTCATTCTGCAAAAAGCACAGTGGGAAATGAGTCAAATGAGGGTTAGTTCACTCCAAAGTTGCAATTTACTCTCCCTCGTGGTTTGAGTTTCTTTCTCCTGTTGATATTTCGAAGAATGCTGTTGGCTGACAGAGTAAACAATTACTTTGGAAGGCGATGGGAGCACTGAAAAAAAATGATTCATTGGATTTACATAATCATTTTAGGGTAAGTGGTTGCAAACCATTTATATAGGCTAAATTTAAACAAACAGGTTTAGTAATGTTCAACTTAATTTGTTTGCTTGAATTCATCCCAAATAAATTGTTTGAAACCACTTAACGTAAATAAAAATTCTATATTCAATAAATATTTTTCAGTGTGCCAGCAACCAGCATTTTTCAAAGTATCTTCTTTTGAGTTCAGCAGAAGGGTGAGTAAATCCTTTTTGGGCGAACTGTGCCTTTAAGAGCTGTTCACACTAAGGTCGATAACTGTAAAGATAATGATGAAGATATTATTCTAAAAATTGTACTAGATCCACATATAGCAAAAGCAGAGATCAAACTACATTTATAATGATAGCGATGTAGAAAAACAAGATGGTTGGAACCACTGTCAGGACATTAGGATCAAGCGCTTATTTTAATGGATTTAACTGTTTAATAAAACTGTGTTGTTTAAAGGTGCAGTATGTAAGTTTGACACCCAGTGGTTGAGCTAGGTATTGCATTCCTGGATCAAAACAAACGCAAGCGGTCGGCGCAATAGCCTAGTGGTTAGCGCCTCGACACATGGTGCAGTAGCACGTCAGGGCGTCCCGAGATCGAATCCCGGCTCAAGGACATTTCCCTACCCTACCCGTTCTCTCTCTCCAACTTCGCTTCCTGTCTTAATACTGTCCTATCTAAAAAAGGCCAAAAATAAATCTTTAAAAAAAAAAAAACAAACGCAAGCGCAGGTTGCCAGATTAAGGACCAACAGGAGCGAGTCTGACAATCGCTGATTTAAATCGAGCTTTAAATAAATGGCAAGCGATAGGAGCAGTATTATCCATGCTAAAAGGAGTTTTTGATTTGATCAGCACCTGAAATTAATGTAAAAAAGTGACCCCTGATGAATAAAGGGACTAAGCTGATGGAAAATGAACGATTGCTTTAAAATCAACAAAACACTGACAGCCAGTCAATCCAATATAAATACTATGTGCATTTAAAACGCTGGCTAGAAGCTCACCGTTTGATGTTAAAACCCTCTATTCATAATTCCTATAAACATACCGAGTATGTGGGAAATAATGGGTTCTACATTTTACACGAATGGTGAGATGTACCCTAAGCCAGGCTCGCAAATAAGTAGTATCAAAGATAAAAGTGCATCATTCCATTCCATTAACTACAGCTGCTAAATGTAGTTAACATTCCACTCCTTGCACTTGATCCACTCGCTGGATCCACTTGAAACGAAGCGTGGCTACATATATTATATAAATTATATATTTAAATATATAAATTATTAGCCCTCCTATTAAATTTGAACTCTTTTTCAAATACATCTCCAGTGCTGTTTAACAGAGCGATGATTGATAATAAAGCGTGTCTGGCATGCTGTCCCAGGAGAGAGCCCTGAGCTAGGTGAAACACCCCCGGGGCTCCCTCCTGTTTTGTGGGCGAGAGGGGAGTTTGAGCTCAGGTAGGCCTCGAGAACTCCCCTGCTTGTGAATGTGCTAGGAATAGCTAAGAGATATAGCCGGCTAAGAGTTTGTCCTATGATGCCACTTTGGATTAGTTAATCTACTTATATTGTATGTCTATGGACGATGGGAGGAAACCGGTCGAAACTCACACGAGCATAGGGAGAACTTTCCAGAGAACTTTCCAGGTAAGGGCCCAAACCAGTGGTGTTCTTGCTGTGATGCAGCCATGCTAACCAGGGGAAGGAGTAGGGGTTGAAGGGGGGATTATTCAAGATGAAGATGACTGAAGTGAAAATCTCTGGGGGTTTTTAGTGAGTTAGTATTCGTTTGAGTGCAATATGTGAAGCTGATGCAGGACCAGCTGTGATCAATCATAAGCATGTGATCCTCTTGAAATTAGTTTATAAATAAACCACACTAATAGATGTGTGTTTTTATTGTTTACACAACTAAACTTGTTCCATCACTCACCTAATTAATCTAACTTGCCTAATTAACCTAGCTTAAGCTTTTGAATCATAAGCTTTAAACTGAATTACTTGCAAAATAACTAGAAAAATATTACTGTTATTATTAGCAGTAGCAGTAGTAGTCATTTGTTTAAAATATTCTCTTCATTAAACATGACTTAGGGAATATTTTAAAAAGAATTAAGAATAATACTAATTTAAGGCAATTAATTTTGCCTTCAACTTTTTGTATGTAGATATTTACATTTTATATATATATATATATATATATATATATATATATATATATATATATATATATATATATATATATATATATATATATATATATATATACAGTTGAAGTCAGAATTATTAGCCCCCTTGTATGTTTTTCCACAATTTCTGTTTAACGGAGAGAATATTTTTTTATAACACATTTCTAAACATAATAGTTTTAATAACTTATATCTATTAACTGATTTATTTTATCTTTTCCATGATGACAATAAATAATATTTTACTAGATATTTTTCAAGATACTATATTCAGCTTAAAGTGACATTGGAAAAAAAGCTTAACTCGGCTGATTAGGGAAATTAGGCAAGTCATTGTATAACAGTGGTTTGTTCTGTAGACAATCCAAAACATATTGCTTAAGACCCCTAATAATATTGACCTTAAAATGTTTTTTAAAATATTAAAAACTGCTTTTATTCTAGCCGAAATAAAACAAACAAGACTTTCTCCCGAAGAAAAAATATTATCAGACATACTGTGAAAAATGTCTTGTTCTGTTAAACATCATTTGGAAAATATTTTAAAAAGAACGAAAAATTCGAATAATTATTTGAAACAAGCTGGAAATGATCATTCGTTTAATGTGGATGCAAATATAGTTGTCATTGCGTTTAAATTTCTATCCATGTTTTGAATGTGTCTGTAATCTGTGCTACAGATCCTGTATAACCAGCAGAGTGTGGAGGTCCAGGGTGACCTGAAGAGGAAGCTGATTACGCGTCTGCAGCCGGACACTGATTACTCCTTTGTCCTGATGAGTCGGGGGAACAGCGCTGGCGGACTGCAGCAGCAGGTCTCCATCCGCACCGCTCCAGACCTGTTCACTACCAAACCAGCACACCAGAAACTAGACCCAGAGGAGGGCGGCAAACTCGCCATCACACTGCCCGAAGTGCACAACAGCGCCCTCGTCAGGTCAGTCAATCTCTGTTTATTAAAAAAATAAACTATTTTATAAAACGAAAAATTAAGAGGGACATGATAATTATCAAATTTAGTTAAAATTTTGCTGTTTATAATTGTTTTGCAAAAACTCGTTGTAATTTAAATATTTAATTTTCTATTCCTAAAGATGTTTGGTGACCAAACTCTCATTTGTATGAATATATCTATTTAATATAACTGTTTTGTTTAAATGAACCCAAAGTACACGTACCGGCCACTTTATTAGGTACACCTGTCCAACTGCTCGTTAACGCAAATTTCTAATCAGCCAATCAAATGGCAGCAACTCAATGCATTTAGGCATGTGGACATGGTCAAGACCATCTGCTGCAGTTCAAAGCGAGCATCAGAATGGAAAGGAAAAAAGAATTAAGTGACTTTGAATGTGGCATGGTTCTGAGTATTTCAGAAACTGCTGATCTACTGGGATTTTCACGCACAACCATTTCTAGGGTTTACAGAGAATGGTTTGAAAAAGAGAAAATATGCAGTGAGCGGCAGTTCTGTGGGCGCAAATGCCTTGTTGATGCCAAAGGTCAGAGGAGAATGGCCAGACTGGTTCCAGCTGATAGAAAGGCAACAGTAACTCAAATAAGCACTCGTTACAACCGAGGTCTGCAGAAGAGCATCTCTGAACACACAACACGTCCAACCTTGAGGCGGATGGGCTACAGCAGCAAAAGAACACACCGGGTGCCGCTCCTGTCAGCTAAGAACAGGAAACTGAGGCTACAATTCACACAGGCTCACCACAATTGGACCTGTGTTGCCCGGTGGGATAAGTCTCGAATTCTGCTGCAACATTTGGATGGTAGGGTCAAAATTTGGCATCAACAACATGAAAGCATGGATCCATCCTGCCTTCAGGCTGGTGGTGGTGGTGTAATGGTGTGGGGGAGATTTTCTTGGCACACTTTGTGCCCTTTATTACCAATTGAGCATCCTGTCAACGCCACAGCCTACCTGAGTATTGTTGCTGACCATGTTCATTCCTTTATCACCATCTTCTGATGGCTACTTCCAGCAGGATAACGCACCATGTCATAAAGCTTGAATCATCTCAGACTGGTTTCTTGAACATGACAATGAGTTCACTGTACTCAAATGTCCTCCACAGTCACCAGATATTAATCCACTAGGCACTTTTGGTGATGTGGTGGAACGGGAGATTTGCATCATGGATGTGCTGCCGACAAATCTGCACCAACTGCCTGATGCTATCATGTCAATATGGAGCAAAATCTCTGAGGAATATTTCCAGCACCTTGTTGAGTCCATGCCACAAAGGATTATGGGAGTTCTAAAGGCAAAAAGGGGCCTGACCGGGTACTAGTACGGTGTACCTAATAAAGTGGCTGTTGAGTGTATATTGGCTATATTTACTGAGAAAAGGATAAAAATGTAAATGTTTTAAACCGGATGAATTCATTTATGCACAGCACCATAGCTTCTTTTATTCATTTATCAAACAGATTTACTGTTGTTCTTTAGGCTTCATTCAACACGCAAAAAAATGAAAAAGCACCGACTTTTAGGCGTGTTATTCTTTATAAAAATATAAGAATATGGTGAAAATAGCTTTTCATTTTCCTCCAACGTGAATAAATGCATAAGAAAACAAGTTTTGTTTTGCTCCATGCAAAATTATGCTTGATGGCTTTGTATAAAATGCATTGCATGACCTGAACAACTACTTGAACAGTAAAAGCAGAGCCATTTCTTCCTGTGCGTGTTTTGCATTAAGTTATCTGAAAATAAAAGAAATTATTTATATACCTTGCTCAGCATAAACAAGTGCACCTCTCACAGATCTCTCTTTAAGCTTCATATTTTCTATAGGATGCTTTACAATAATATATTCAAGCATATACATTAGATTGGGCGATGGGGTGGCGCAGTAGGTAGTGCTGTCGCCTCACAGCAAGAAGGTGGCTGGGTCTCTGGTTTGAGCCTCGGCTCAGTTGGCGTTTCTGTGTGGAGTTTGCATGTTCTCCCTGCGTTCGCGTGGGTTTCCTCCGGGTGCTCCGGTTTACCCCACAGTCCAAAGACATGCGGTACAGGTGAATTCGGTTGGCTAAATTTTCTGTAGTGTATGAGTGTGTGTGAATGTGTGTGTGGATGTCTTCCAGGATGGGTTGCAGCTGGAAGGGCATCCGCTGTTAAAAACTTGCTGGATAAGTTGGCGGTTCATTCCGCTGTGGCGACCCCGGTTTAATAAAGGGACTAAGCCGACAAGAAAATGAATAAATACATTAGATTAGTCAGTAGCAAAGACAAAACTGAAAATCACATTGTGTACACTACACACAAATTAATATGCTGGATTAAAATCTTAAATTAATTTTATAAACAGAAAAACTTAAGAGAAATATACAAATCTAAGTAGATTTCTATGAGATCATTGACCGTTTTCTCAAAGGATGACATATGGAACAAAATCAATGCCAAAAGCATTGAAATAAAAAGCCTATTGAATAGCACAAGCTAAAAAAAATACATTGAATTAGCAACTGCTTGCATTTTAATGACTTGAATTGCCACAGTTTGTATTTTTAGGGCCTAAAATTTAAAACAGCTATTTATTTAAGCTGTGAATATTTTAATAAAAATATTTCAAACATGTTTTCATACTTTAAAATTCAATAATTCATATTCAATTTCCAGATTTCATGTAAAATATTCAAAAGAAAATTTTCAGTTCATTTTATTTCAGTTCAAAATTTCGCTTCCATAAATTCAGTGGGTCAGATTCGGCTGTTAAAATTCAACATTGACAAAATTAAATGCTACTTTTGTGCCGTTATTAGCTTTTTTCCTCACCTACTGACTTGTATAAAAATCTTAAATTGGTTTACCTACTAGTAAAAAAAGCAGCTGGAGATTGTCAATCTGCAATCTATATTGCTTTTCCTGCAGTTCCCAGAAGTAATGTCAAATTTTGAGAGCCAAACTTGATCCACTGAATGTGTGGAAGCAAATTTTTGATCTGAAATAAAATTAAGTGAGAATGAGGTATTTTTCACAGATATTGAATATTTTGTAAGTGAAATCTGGAAATTGAATATGAAATATTAAATTCATAAGTATGGAAATGTGTTTGAAATATTTTTATTGAAATATTCACAGCTTAAATAAACAGCTGTGTTAAATTCAGGCCCTAAAAATACAAACTGTGGCAATTGCAAGCAGTTGCTAATTCAATGTATTATTTTTTTCAGTTTGCGCTATTCGGCAAGCTTTTTATTTCAATACTATTGGCATTGATTTTGTTCCATAATGACAAGCTGACAAAACATTGCTGCAGCTCTGATACAAGTTTTATTTATGGAGAAAATTCAAATGCACTACAGTGTTTTGGTGTTTTGTTTTTCTCTGAGGTAATTACTAAAATATGTATATTTCATACAAAATAGTGATGCGCAGATAGCGGTTATATCTCCAGGCGATGCGGATAATCCACATGTAGGTCGGGTTATAAAAAATACATTATGATTAATTGCGGGTGGGTGAGTTTATTTCTTAATGATTTTTGCTTTGTATTTTTTAAACACATTTCTTAAAGCAGAAATGGAGGCGAAACCGATCCGAGAATAACTTAAAAAGGAAAAATTAAAAACAATAGGAAGGAAAGAGAAGTGACCCGTGGGAGCGTTTTAGCAAGGGTTAGCGAGGTTGAATCAAGTGCTGGGTATGTTATAGTCTATGCAACCACTGTATAGCGCTTTATATGAAAGCCACAAAACTGGTACCTCAAATATGTAACATCATGTGTGTGCTAAATCGAAAGGCTGGGTTAGGGTTAGGGTTAACCCTTTATTAAACTGGGATTGAATCGCCAACTTATCCAGCATATGTTTTGCACAGCAGATGCCCTTCCAGCTGCAACCCATAACTGGGAAACACCCATACATTTACACACAGACAGTACGGACAGTTCACCTATGTGTTTGGGCTGTGGGGGAAACCGGAGAACCCAAAAGAAACCCAAACCAACATGGGGAGAACATGCAAACTCTACACAGAAATGCCAACTGACCCAGCCAAGGCTCGAACCAGCGACCTTCTTGCTTTTTCGCTACCGACTGCGCCGCCAAAAAAAAAATCGGTTATTGGAAATAAGTTATTAAAACTATTATGTTTAGAAATGTGTTGAAAAAAATCTTCTAATAAACAGAACTTGGGGAAAAATCTAAAATAAATTTGACAGGAGGGCTAATAATTCTGACTTCAACTGTATATAAATGTAATGTTTCCTTTAGTACTGATATTTCATGTCAGAGAGCAGCATTTGATCACTATTATACCTCACTATTTATCTTGAAACAGAATCAAGATGATACAGTATGTGCTAGCTCTCCGGGCGACGTTTGCTGGGGTCTCAGAGTTCAAGATTCCTGTTACTCTCTGGGCAAATATTGGCCCGTTGTGCTTTATTGAGACTCGGGCCGAAGGTTAATACTCAAACACTTCCCATCGCAGCTCATATTGGTTTATTTCACATCTAGAGGCTCGGTTTGATGTAACGCAGTGGCATCGGAGCGGACTGAAAGCTGAAAAAACACTGCCCACAGGATCATTTCTGACCAAAGACAGCACAGAAATGCTTTAATTAGAAATTACCAGACACATTTCCTCATCAAAGCCGAAGCGAGATTGTTAGAAGCGGTTTCATCAGACGTATCAAACAATGCTCTCGCTCAGTCCTAGTAGGAGAGTGTGTGAATTACTCTGTGTTAATTGGGTTTGGAGTGTTTGTTTGAAAGCCACGGCTGTCACAGAGTCATTCAGAAATGCAATCGGCGGTGTAATATCCATCCAGAGCGTCTCATCACACTCACAAACACACTGATATCTCTGTCTGTGGAGTTTAGCAGAGATGAAGAGGGTCACACTTTTATTATCACCTTCTTCAAGATATCATCCCACTATTTTAATCTTCGAACTTTGCAAAATGAGCTGCATAGTAATGACAGAACAATGTAAATATACTCACGATGTGTATAATGTGGGCGAGGCAGTGGCACAGTAGGTAGTGCTGTCGCCTCACAGCAAGAAGGTCGCTGGTTCGAACCTCGGCTCAGTTGGCGTTTCTGTGTTTGCATGTTCTCCCTGCATTCGCGTGGGTTTCCTCCGGGTGCTCCGGTTTCCCCCACAGTCCAAAAACATGCAGTACAGGTGAATCGGGTAGGCTAAATTGTCCATAGTGTATGTGTGTGGATGTTTCCCAGAGATGGGTTGCAGCTGGAAGGGCATCCGCTGCGTAAAAACTTGCTGGATAAGTTGGCGGTTCATTCCGCTGTGGCGACCCCGGATTAATAAGGGGACTAAGCCGACAACAAAATGAATGAATGTGTATAATGCACATTATATACACACAGAATGTATTTATTTTTAATTATTTATCAGGATCCCCATTAGCCACAACCAAGGTATTGGCTATCCCTCCTGGGTTCTGCAAACATAACATAAAATTATATTAATTCATAGCAATGAGACCAATAAAAACATTAAAATACAAAATGTATAAAATAACATCCAGATCAACGATTCACTTAATATTGTTCCTGTGAAAAAAACTTTTGTGTCTTTATTTTTTATTAGTAAAATGTTTAGAATAACAACTAGGGATGTTACAATATTGTAAATACCGTCATACCGCAATAGTAATTTTTTTTGACTCAATAAAACTATATTTCGGAGAAAAGTTTGCTCAGGAGAAGAGAGGGTGCTCGCTGCAGAGCCATTTGAGGAGAGCTGAGCTCCAGCGAGGGGGAGCATGAGCTGTCGCTCCTCCTCCTGTAAGCTGTTTTAATGCGTACACCAACCCCACCCCTAACCCTACCCCCAGTGACATCACTCGTAGAAGAAGTGCAAAAAAGGTGGAGCTCAAGCTTAAGCTCCCCCTCGCTGGAGCTCAGCTCTCCTCAAATGGCTCTGCAGCGAGCACCACTTGCAGGAGAATGAAGCGAACGGGAGGAAGCGGGAACTACAATTCCCATCAGCCCAGACGTGGCCGTCATCCTTTGCGGTCTGTTGTCGCTACAGATCCAGTAATGCGGAAATGGAGTGTGTTGTTAGTAGCGGAGAAGAAAAAGAGTTGGAAATGATCGAACCTAAAGCGGGTTTTAAATCGGATGTGTTGAAGCATTTCGGTTTCTTTCTAAAAAGATTTGAAAGAGTAGAAAAGGTGACAGACAAAGACAAAACAGTATGCAGGCACTGCCAGACTGTGGTGAAATATAAGTCGGGGAATACGACTAAAAACAGTCACGGGGACTGCAGAACACAGCACACTTGTTAGATTGATGCAGACATTGACTTGTACCGCAAAGAGACCTCTATCTCACTCATGGTTTGTCCTCTCAAGTGGTAAAAAGACAATGCACAACGTTACCCACTGCTGTCAACCTTGGCTAAATCATATCTCTCTGTCCCTGAAACCTCAGTCCCAAATGAGAGGGGTTTTTTTTTTCTGTTGCAGGGGACATGCCCAGAGATCCCAGCTTTTACCAGATTATATTTATATGATAATTTTCCTTTAAAAAAACATCAAGTGAGTGAGTGATTAAATGTTGAGTGTGATGAGTTTTCAACAATACTAAATTAAAACTTAATTTTTTTAATATTGTTTAATAATTTTTTGTTATTTAATTTGAAAAATTAAAGTTCCTGATTCGAAACTTACAGATAGATGGCTGATTTGTATGTCATTGATATGTTCAGCGCTAAGGTAAATAAACACTTTTGGCACTTTTTTCGAGTCTTCTCATTAGTTTGTTTTTCCTGTAAATTATTCAATAAATACCGAACCGTGCCATTCACACCGAGGTATTATCGTACCGTGAAATTCTGATACCGTTACATCCCTGATAACAACTGATTAATCAATCTTTTTCTTTTGTATGATACCATATACTGACCAGACATACTTCCTCTTTTTTACTGTGCTGCATACTTTTTATAAGGAACTGCTGACCAGAGGGAAATAGCAGAATAAGAATTAATTTAGTGTGGGGGGGCATTACAGACTGCTGTCTAGACATGTCACAAGGAACATGATGCTTGTAGAAGCTGGGAATATATATTAAAGATGCACACACACACACACACAGGTACAGTCAGAGAGATCTTGGTTCTTACATGTGCATGTTTGTTTTCCTCTCAGGTGGTTTTATATCGTGGTTGTACCAGTAACTCCTTCAACTCTCCGCCATTGGGAAAACCCAGAAGATATTGATCTGGATGAGGTGAGTGTGTGTTACTGATGATCACGTACAAATAGCTTAAATGTCTCACACTCTTATCCGTCACACTTCAGGTCTGTGATATACCAGATCTTTTTCAGTGCTCTACAGTATGTATGATGCAACTGTTTTGTTTTTCCGCTGGTTATTTTCTGCCTCTCGGTTCCTCTGCATCTCCTCCTCAGCAGCTGCAGAGACACACGGGCACTTTGAGCGCTCTTAAAAAGCTTCTCTTGGCATTTTTCGCTTTTTTTTGTTATTACTACTGAGCTTTTGAGCTCCAACACGGTTCTGCTTTCTCATGAGTTTGCTCGCTTTCGATAAACTACCGTCTGCAAAACAGGCAAACTTTTTCAGGTGCTGCCTACTGAATATCAAAACGCAGAGGTGCTGGGAAGAAACAAAATCACAACGGTGTCACCTGCATTTTGAAGCGGGCCACGCAGCCTGTTTTCCCCCGAGTTGCCCTTTATTTATGAGCGTCGGCGAGTCAAATGAGAGGTGTATTATTGTACTGGTGTTTATCACTGCGATAAATATTGCGTCGCAGTCCTCATTCTCTCTGCCGCAAGACCCCATTTGTTCTGCTGCAATCCTGTGGCCTTGGATTTGATTCAGCCGCGACCGAATGTGCTTCACTAAAGCTAAAAATGCTGCAGTCTGTTGCTTACTATGCTTAAATACACTTTAAAAAAATAATGTTCGCTGCTTGTTCTAACTACTTCTTTAAAATGAGCTGAAACACTTATTAAGCACTGTAATGATATGACAAAAAGTCATGAGAACAGAATATTTTATGTTAATTTAATTAATAAGTGAATAATTTTTTTAACCAAATTATTTTTAGCTTTACAAAATTTGACAATATTTTAGTCAGTTTGACTGATTTAAGTTGAGTCCACTAAAGAAAAATATTTAATTTAACTAAAATAAATGAAGGCAGGAGGAGATTTTTTTTACAGTGAGTTTTTGGGGAGACAACTTAATTATTTTATGTTCTATCAACTTAAATTTGTAAAACCTAGTAAGCTAACTTGACTCCTTCATGTTGTCCCAACACAAATTGATTGTGTGGAGGCATTTTTTACAGTGTATAAAACTTGATGTTTGATCAAAAAAACTTAAATCATTTATTCATTCATTTTATTGTCGGCGTAGTCCCTTTATTAATCCGGGGTCGCCACTGCGGAATGAACTGCCAACTTATCCAACATGTTTTACGCAGCGGATGCCCTTCCAGCCGCAACCCATATCTGGGAAACATTCACATACACATTCACACACACACTCATACATTCCAGACAATTTAGCCTACCCAATTCACCTGTACTGAATGTCTTTGGACTGTGGGGGAAACCGGAGCACCTGGAGGAAACCCAAGCAAATGCAGGGAGAACATGCAAACTCCACACAGAAACGCCAACTGAGCCGAGGCTCGAACCAGCAACCCTCTTGCTGTGAGGGGACAGCACTACCTACTGCACCACTGCTTCGCCCAAAACTCAAATCATAACATTTAAATTGAGTTGAAACAACACAATTCTTGAGCACTTTAAAAATATAACAAAAAGTCATGACCACAAATGTCTTTGTTACTTTAACTTAATTTAATATGTTTTTAACCATTTTTTTAGATATACAATGTTTTTAGTCAGTGTAACTAATTTAAGTTGAGATGACTCAAATATTGTTTTTTAGTTGTTGTTTTTTTACAGTGAGTTTTTGGGGGAACAACTTAATTGTTGAACGTTCAATCAACTTAAATTTGAAAAAAAACTAAAACTAAGTTAACTTAATTCCTTCATGTTGTTTCAACACAAATTGATTGTGTGGAATGCAGAATTTGTTACAGCGTACACTCAAAATATTATTGTTTGCTTAGTCCTTATTTAGATTGAGCTGAAACAGCACATTTCTTGAGCACTTTTAACAATATGACAGTCATGACAACAAATGTCTTTGTTACTTTAACTTAATTTAATAAGTTGAGTTTTAACCTTTTTTTAGCTATACAAAGTTTGACACAATATTTTTGTCAGTTTGACGTATTTAAGTTGAGATGACTAGATAAAAAAAAATTCATTCATTTCAATTTTATTTTTATTTATTTATTTTTAAAAAAAAATTTACAGTGAGTTTTTGGGGAAACAACTCAGTTGTTGTATGTTTACTCGACTTAAATTTGTAAAACCTATACTTTACATAAAAGTTGACTCAACTTAAAATTGTAAGTCAACAAACTTCAGGACATTTTTTGACTTGATTTAACTTTCAACACAGTTGCTGCACTTGACTTGATTTAAGTTTGTTGCCTTAAAATTATAAGTTGAGTCAACCTTTTTTAACATTGTAGTAAGCTAACTTGATTTCTTTATGTTGTCGCAATACAAATCAATTATGTTGAAGCAAGCATTTTTTACAGTGCTGTTTGTTCAAACTGCTTATTTAATGAGCTGAAACAACATGATTCTTGCACACTGTAAAAAATGACAAAAAGTCATGACAACAAATGATTTTTAGTTACTTTAACTTAATTTAATAAGTTAATTATTTTCAACCGTTTTTTAGCTCTACAAAGTTTGACAATAGTGAAACAGCACAATTTTAGAGTTGTTTGGGGACAACTTAATTGTTTTATGTTCAATCAACTTAAATTTGTAAAAACTAATAAGTTAACTTAATTTATTCATGTTGTCCCAGCACCAATTGATTGTGTGGAAGACAGCATTTTTTATATATATTGTTTTTATTATAGTTTTTTAGCAGAAATAGAAAAGCAAAGAATACACAGACAACCCATCTCGTAACAATAAGCTGTGCAAAATTTAAAATGAGGCGTGAAACCAGTGAAAAATGGAGACGCACAAAACATAAATGAGCTAAAAAAAAAAACACTGCAATGGATGTAAAATGTACAAATTTTCAGAAAGTGGAGAGCAAGAAAAAGAGAGAGAAAGGGAGGAAGTGCTTTATAAAGAGACAGATGAAGGAGACAGCGTGTCGTTTTGAATTAATGATGCCTCCGACTGAAACACCTGAGGCTGATGTCTGACCTTTGACCTCCGCGCTGCTGTTCAGCTGGTTCATGCACTGAAAGTGGCAATCAGGATAGAAGTAAAAATATATACTAGCATTCAAAAGTTTGCTGCTTGTAAGACTTTTTAATGATTTAGGAAGTTTTATGAACTCACAAAGGCTGCAAAAACTTGAATATATTTGAAAACACTGAAAAATGTTTATTTAATGATTTAAAATATTTTTGGATTGGAATAAATCGTCAAATGCAATGCAAAAAATGCTTACATTTGTCTTCTTTCTAGTCCAAATGTATAAAAATTCTTAAATCAAGAAGCATTTTATGTATTGTTTTCATAAATAATGTGCCAAAATTAGGTAGAACAAGCTAAATAATCTGCCAATGGGGTAAGCCAGGGCTGTCCAAACTTTTTGGGCCAAGGGCCAGATGCAAAAGAAAAAAAAAAACGTAGTCCCAGGCCAAATTTTACATACATCACACAGACACGCATATATATATATATATATGCGTGTGTGTGTGTGTGTGTGTGTGTGTGTGTGTGTGTGTGTGTGTGTGTGTGTGTGTGTGTGTGCGTGCGTGCGTGCGTGCGTGCGTGCGTGCGTGCGTGCGTGCGTGCGTGTGTGTGTGTGTGCGTGCGTGTGTGTGTGTATTATGGAATTATTTTAATTTGTCGTCCAACTGTGTTTCTAGAAAGACTTGCTGTTTGAAAATCGTGAATCTTCTCTGGGCAAATTACTGTTGCAACACTTATCAGACACTCCTATATAAATTCTCCATTACTGAAGGGTTTCCTGTGCTGTGCGATTAGCTGAACAACCTCATAACTAGCCAGCGTAGAATTTTCTTGCACTTTATTATTACAAAAAATCTGGTGTTGTTGAGCTGATAGGGCAGCTGCTATTTGTTTTACTTTTTGATCTCGTTCGGCACCAGTGTAAAAGCTGAAGGCCTGATGTTTTGTTTCATAATGTCTTTTAATATTATATTCCTTAATTACTGCAACTTATTCCTGGAAAATTAAACAGACACATATTCCACTGACCTCTATGAAGAAATATTCTTTGCCCCAACGTGACTGAAATTTCCTGCACTCACTGTTGATTTTTCTTTTTCTTGGTTGTGCCATGGCTCGCCAAGCATTTTATGTATTGTTTTCATAAATTATGTGCCAAAATTAGGTAGAACAAGCTAAATAATCTGCCAATGGGGTAAGCCAGGGATGTCCAAACTTTTTGGGCCAAGGGCCAGATGCAAAAGAAAAAAAAATCGTAGTCCCGGGCCGAATTTTACATACATCACACAGACACGCATATATTAGTGCTGTTAATCAATTAAAAAAAATTAACTAATTAATCGCACTTTTAAAAAAAATTAATCGCCATTAATCCATGTTGGATTCTAAGTGGACTGCAAAAAAATGCCAAAATACAGGAATTGCAGATATGGAAAATTATAATAATAATAATAATAAAGTATTGAAAATCTGTGCATGCCCTTGAATATGTTTACCAGCTCCCATTCTATAAAAGCACAAAAGCCTTATATAGGAAATAACGAGAGTTGACAAATTAGAAAAACTACTTTTTTTATTTATTTATTATTAAAATAAAATTATAATCCACACTGGAAATGTGGGTGCCTGTGTGTTTTAAGGGAGCCTAATAAATAATGAACATAACAAAAACTGCCTGCTGACACACACAGTTAATGTTGATTAATAAAATAAAGATAAATAATAAAAGCAATGTGTCAGAGACCCTTAAAAAATGTTTAACTCAACAATGAAACATCAAACGTAGCTAACAGCTTTTACATTGTCAATTAAATGAACTTAAACAATAAAAAAATGCAACAAATATTTGTTTGGGCAGAACTAAATGTAAAAAAAAAGTTGCTTAAGTTGCACACTAGTTTGGTCATGTATAAATATCATTATATTAACCATGGCTCGCCAAAACGTGATTATCAATTATGTTTCCTTCAGTTTGTTCGATTTTAGGGAAGGAGGAGGGTGGGGGGATCAGTTGGTCGATTTGTCAGTCAGTCAGTCAACAGCAGCCCCTGTTGGATTTGAGAGAAATTATAGATTTGAAAAAGCGTACACAGCGGCCTCTGGTGGATTTACAAAAACTACCAAAGAAAATATAGCTCCTGGGATGTATTTTGCTCTCTCCAGAAATGTATGCAGGGGTACGTATCAATAATGAGCCTGGGTGGGTTTTTAGATCTGTTGAGGAGTCTTTTAGCAGAAAAAAAGTTTGTGAATATATTGGTCCTGCATACTGATGTGTTTCATGTGTTTTTATCAGCTGATGGGGAATAATAGAGACGCAGCTGTGAGGAGGAGGAGAAGACAAACTCAGGACTTTCTGCGGCCTTACATTGCTGCCAAGCTGGAGTCTCTTCCAGAAAGATTTGTGTTGGGAGATGAGAAAACCTACAGCAACTACTACAACAAACCTCTGCCGGGACAGCAGCAGTATCGCACATTTATACTGGCGGCACTGAAAGACAGAGACTCGGTGAGTCACAAACACACACCATCCACTGAAACAAGCCAAACTACTGTGTCTTTCATTTTAAGCTCCCGATCTTTCTGAATGAAATGCCTACTTTACAACATCCAATGAGCTCGCAGTAGAAAACCAACAAGCCACGCCCACTGTTTTCTCATTTAATATTCTGATTCCCTAGGAACTGCATCACAAAACACAAACGAAAGGTTGCAGCTTTCGGTTCATGTGGACTTTAAGGGTTAATCTGTCTTATTTTCCATTCTCTTTAATCTAAAGTAGAAAGAATGAGAGAAGTGTAGAAAGGGAAAAAAAGAGCGCAGGATGAGAGTGTCTAGTTGAAAGGACAGTCTGCGGTGGGCTGGTAAACAGACTAGTGAGTGTGAAATTGGATGAAAGAGGTCGACTGCAAAACTACTGCAGCACTTAAAGGAAAACAGATTAGAGGAGGAGATGAAGGCGAGGATGGAGGAAGAGAGAAAGAGACATCGTCACATGAAGGACTGCGGCTGAGAGAGAGAAGGAAAGATGCTGTCATTAATGCTGGAGAGAGCTGAGAGTTACAGATGGAGAGGTGAAGGAGAACTCGACACACACACACACACACATGAATATGCATCAGTGAAGAGTGACTGGAGTCAGTCAGAGATGCATTTTACTCTCGCTGTGGGATGTGTTTCCATCTCAGAAGTCCTAACTACATGCTATGTGGTGCTGCGACATAATAAAAGCTCTTTTTTTTGTGTTAAAATTGTTTTTGTCTTAACCAATTATTATAGCAATTGTTAACGTTTTTATTTTAGAAACAGTTTATATTTCGGCAACGTCGCGAATGAAGCAATAGCATAAACTACTATAATAATGATCACCTTAGCTGCTAATTATGTGCTTTATTATACACATAGCACACTTAAAATGAACTCCAGACCTTTTATCTGCTCATTGTGTGTGGGATAATAAGGGAATAACACACACCTGGCCATTGAACAGCTGAGAAGCCAATTGTCCTACCAATTTCCTACCGCGTTCACCTGATTTGGATGTAAATACCCTCAAATTTAAGCTGACACTCTGGCGCATCTTGTTCATTTCATTTAAAATCCATTGCGTTGGTGTGTAGACCCAAAAATAACTACATATATATATATATATATATATATATATATATATATATATATATATATATATATATATATATATATATATATATATATATATATATATATAAACGGTAACACTTTACAATAAGGTTCATTAGTTAATGCATTTACTAACATGAACTAATCATGAACAACACATGTACAGCCTTTATTAATCATAATTGAACATTTACTAATGCATTATTAACATCCAAGTCCATGCTTGTTAACATTAGTTAATGCACCGTGAGTTAACATGAACTAACAATGAACTACTGTATTTTCATTGACTAATGTTAACTAACATGAACAAATACCATAGTAAATGTATTGTTCATTGTTTGTTCATGTTAGTAAATGCATTAATTAACATTAACTAATGAACCTTATTGTAAAGTGTGACCATATAAACTTATATTTACAATATCTTTTAAAAAATATATATTAATTAAAAATTAATATAATATCTCAAATTAATAGCCATATTAAAAAATTATATACTAAAACGAACACTAAAAGTAAATGAAACTGTTATTAAAACAATAATAGTTACTCGGTGATATTAAATACAGTTCAGCACTTTTTGTCATGTTATTTTATCCTATTTTATTATTAAAAAAATCATAATAATTTGGTAAAAATGCACCATTATTGTTATAGCCCTGCAGATCTCACTGTAGCTCTATATATACACAATATATCTAAAATATATATCGCCATATTCAAAAATGATATGCTAAAACTGTCATTAAAAATAAATAAAACTGTTATTAAAAATATTTACTCAGTGATATTAAATACAGATCAGCACTTTTTCTTGTCATCTTCATTTGAGAATCAAAATTACTTCAGTTATTTAATTTTTAAAAATATACATACAGAATATTTACACAATATATCTAATATATATCGGCATATTCGAATATTAAATGCTAAAACTAAGACTAAAAGTAAATAAATCTGTTAATAAAAATATTTACTCAGTGATATTAAATACTGTTACTGCATGTTTATTTGAAAAGCAAAATGAGTAAATGACTTGAGTTTTTTTTATATTAATTAATTTTATTATTTAATTTAATTTAATTTAATTTAATTAATTTTTATATTAATTAATTTTATATTAATTTTATATTAATTTTTTATATTTTTTATATATTTTTTATATTTAAATAATAAGAAATTAAAATTTATTTGGTAAAAATGTACCATATTTATTAAAGCTCTGCAGATCTCACTGTTGCCCCATAAATAAACAGTATATTTATTATAATAGCTGTCTATATATACACTATATGTCTAAAATATTCATTAATTTTCATTTCAGCTCAGTCCCTTTATTAATCTGGGGTCGCCACAGCAGAATGAACCACCTATCTGAAATATATATTGCCATATTCAAATATTACATATACTAAAACCAACAGTAAGTGAAGTTTTACAAACTAATTTTGAGAGGAGCACGTGATATAATTGATCGCAGCTGGTCTCTCACGCATAATCAGCAATAATTTAATCAGATTGAGCCAAGTCTACAATAAATAGACTGATTTCACTCTACTACCTTATCTTCATTTTGGAAGAATCCCCCCTTCCACCTCATCTCCTCCTTTTCCTCCTTTTACCAGGGAGACCTACCTAATCTCGATCCCCTTACATGCTAATTTACCAGGCGGGAGCCCTGGGCTCAATTATCTCCGAGCTCTGGATTCTCTCCCAGGACAACATACCAAACCTGCTTATAGCGTCAAGCAATATCTAAGTGTGAACTCTTGAAAAGTAAATAAAGCTATAATATTTGCCCAGTGATATTAAATACTGCTTTTTTAATATAAATACTGTTCATTTGATAAGCCAAATTACTTGAGACTTATATTATGCAAGTAAAAATAAATAAACGAGCCTAGAAAAATGGCATCACAAAATAAAAAACATATTTATTCTTAGCAGATTTTGTTTATCTTCTAAGCATGAACTCACTTCATTAGTATGCATTTTACATTGAATGCAGACGTAATATCTCCACACTGTCCTTCCCAAAGAAATGATGGAAATGAGTTCTTCTGTAAATGAGTTGTGTTTCGGTGGGAATGCTGAAGGTGTAGGGCTGATGGGATTGGGTTGATGATGCGTGTCCTCCGCTCTCTGCTATCCTCCAGTCTCCATCCCTCTTTCTCCCGCTGTGCTGTCTAAAAGGTGTTACTAAGACGATTAGTTTGTGGAAGGAGAACTGACTTCTGTGCTGCTTTGAAGATTCCAAGGCTTTTCCTCCTGCTCCACTTACAGAAACCCTTCAGTGTGTTTGTGATCCCTGAACGTCATTAAATGTCACATCCGGGGCCCAGTTTTGACATCTGTGCTTCCATCAAGAGCTTTAAACGTCCATGGAGCTTTTCCAATCCTCAAGAGGTTCTCTGTCATGGGAAAAACGATTCTAAAATTTCTAAAAAGGATGTCAACTCAAAGCAAGAAGATTGCTGGTTCGAGTCCTGGCTGGGCCAGTTGGCATTTCTGTGTGGAGTTTGCATGTTCTCCCCGTGTTGGCGTGGGTTTCCTCCGGGTGCTCCGGTTACCCCCTCAGTACAAACACATGCGCTATAGGGGAATTGAATAAGCTAAATTGTCCATAGTGTATGAGTGTGTGTATGCAAGAGTGTATGGGTGTTTCCCAGTGTTGCGTTGCGGCTGGAAGGGCATCCACTGTGTAAAACACATGCTGGAATAGTTGGCAGTTCATTCCACTGTGGCGACCGCTGATTATTAAAGGGACTAAGCCAAAAAGAAAATGAGTGAATGAATTACTTAATCTGTCTGTGTGTGTGTGTGTGTGTGTGTGTGTGTGTGTGTGTGTGTGTGTGTGTGTGTGTGTGTGTGTGTGTGTGTGTGAATGTGAGAGTGTATGGGTGTTTCCCAGTACTGGGTTGCGGCATAAAGGGCATCCGCTGCATAAAACATATGCCAGAATAATTGGTGGTTCATTCCGCTGTGACAACCTCTAATAAATAAGAGACTAAGCTGAAAAGAAAATGAATGAATGTATGCGTGTGTGTGTGTGTGTGTGTGTGTGAACATGAGTGTATAAGTGTTTTCCAGCACTGGGTTGCAGCTGGAAGAGCATACGCTGCATAAAACATATGCCAGAATAATTATTGGTTCATCCCGCTGTGGCAACCCCAGATAATGAAGAGACTAAGTCGAAAAGAAAATTAATAAATGAATGTATGTACGAGTGTGTGTGTGAACGTGTCTGGGTGTTTCCCAGACAGTACTGGGTTGCGGCTTGAAGGATAAAATATACAGTTTGTACAGTATAAAAATCATTACGTCAATAGGAAGTTCCAGTAAATGTAACTGTACAAGTGTGTGTGTGCGTGTGTGTGTGTTTGTGTTTGTGTGTGTGTGTGAAATAACTTTAATTTATTTATTGATTAAATCATCTATGGGTGTTTCCCAGTGCTGGGTTGTGGCTGGAAGGGCTTCCGCTTTGTAAAACATATGCTGGAATAATTGTCGGTTCATTCAGCTGTGGCAACCCCTGATAAACAAAGGACTAAGCTACAGGAAAATGAATGAGTTTTGATTTGTTCTGTGTTTCTCTGTGCAGACGTTCACAGTGAGTCCGTTCTCTGAGCCCATGATGGTGAAGCTCCACAGCGGGATGTCCCGTCACGTGGAGGACCCGGAGATGCTGTGGGTGATGGGACCAGTGTTAGCCGTGGTCCTCATCATCATCATCGTCATCGCCATCCTCCTCTTCAAGAGGTGCTTTTTCACACCGCACCACAATTACATTCATCACAGGGGACGTTCACATTCTCAAGTCAAAATGATTCGCCCTCCTGTCAATTTGTTTTTTTCAAATATTTCACAAATGATGATTAACAGAGCAAGGATTTTTTCACAGTATTTCCTATAATATTTTTTCTTCTGGAGAAAGTCTTATTTGTTTTATTTCGGCTAGAACAAAAGCACTTTTTAATTCTTTTAAAACCATTTTCTTGGTTTATAAGAATCATCAGAAAAAGAAAACACAATGTGCAGTCGGAAGTGTAGCATGCATTCATAAGGTTTGTTTTGGCAGCTGCACTACTTTGAATAAGTCTGATTTACTATAGATACATTAAACAGCAACTCCAATCCACGTGGATGCTATGAGGATAAACAAGAGACGAAAAAGAGACCAAGAGACCAAGACCTTGACTATAGTAAGGACGAATAAATAACAGCTCCTGAAAGACATCCTCATTAGGACATCCTTGTGTTTTATTTGCTAATGCATGCTGTTTTAAAAGATAAATATAATGTATAAAACTATACATTATTTGTATTACTTCAATAAATTTTTTTTTTTGTAATGGACAATGCACAGATATTGACGTTTCACATTGTGTTTACACTACATTATTTGAATCTAACAAGCTTGTTTACATTGCTCTACTTACATTAAATCCAAATCCCAAATATCACAAATGACAGCAGATTGTTTAGATTTAATGTTATGGATTAATGCACTTGACAGATTTCATTAACTCATTATATATATGTGTGTGTGTGTGTGTGTGTGTGTGTATATACATATATGTGTATATATATATGTATCTATGTATGTATGTATGTATATATATATATATATATATATATATATATATATATATATATATATATATATATGAATTTAGAGGTTTTGGCAAAAAAAGCACAAGTGGATTTAGCTGGGTTTGACACAAAAGAAAATCTCCCTTGTTAAATACCAAAGAATTGTCTAAAGCAGCGGTGTCCACACTCGGTCCTGGAGCGCTGGTGTCCTGGAGAGTTTAGTTCCAACCCTAATCAAACACACCTGAACAAGCTAATCAAGCTCTTACTAGGTATACTAGAAACTTCCAGGCAGGTGTGTTGGAGCAAGTTGGAGCTAAGATCAGCAGTACACCGGCCTTCCAGGACCGACTTTGGACACCCCTGGTATAAAGTGACATTTTTGAAAAAAAGGTGTTTCATTTACCAGCTAATAACCTTATCATTACATATAAAATGAAACTTCTAAACCTAATCAGAGGAGCTTTAATAGAACATGCTCATTTACAAGAAAAGAGGTCTGATGGATTTAGAGGGTTTTTCATCTGAACTTTTCAGTTGTAACGTCAGTAATGCAATTACAATAATTTTAGTAACTGTAATCAGATTACCCAAATTTAAAATGTAATTCGTTGCATTACTGCGTTCCTAAATAATGTCATTAAAATATAGTAACGTGTTGCTGGTGAATGCATTACACTCAACTCTGGAAATGAGTTATTAAAACTATTATGTTTAGAAGTATGTTGAAAAAATCATCTTTGAGTTAAACTGAAATTGAGGAAAAAATATATCAGAAGGCTAATAATTCAGGAGGGCTAATAATTCTGACTTCAACTGTAAGTGAGCATATTTTCTTTTTCACCGCATGTTGCAAGCACAGTGAGTTTACTGGACTTCCTCCTGTCAGGAATAAATAGCCTCTCTCTCTCTCTCTCTCTCTCTCTTTTTTAAGACTCTGCTGACTCACTGGAAGAAAGAAAAGAGTAGAAAATCGAAAACTCTCCTTTCAGTCTGACAGTCAGCAATTTAAGTGTTTTTGCTCGACACTTTGGGAAGACTTTAATGATTAAATAATAGCGGTGTATTTTTAAGCTACGCAGCAGGAGGGATATTTTAACAAAAATCGCAGATAACGAGTAACCCTCATCTCGAACCCGCTCGCTCCTATTGAATCAAATGCTCAGGGTTCGAGTGAAAGGAAAACTCATTGTGCAAATGTCAGCTGGAATCGCAGCTCATTAGTAGCAATGGCATTTCAACATTTCTGACAAACCTGCCCTACACACACTCCGTCTGTGCAGTTTTCCTCCTGTGACATTTTCTCTCTTTTCCCCCTCTGTTTCTCCGGCTCTTTCTGCGGGATGCAGCAAACAGGAGAGGTGGGTATCGAGCGTCTCTCTCTCTCTCTCTCTCATCCGATAACAAACGCTTGTTTGTGTTCAGTGTTTAATGGGAGGCAATCCGAAAGTTTAATTGAGCTCACATTAGTGCTGCTGCTGCTCTTTAACAGACACTAACATGCAGGGAATACCTTATATATTGACACATTCTCCTGGTGTGTGATTGTTTTTGTGTGTACTGGCTTGGTTGTTTACAAGGACAGTTTTTTTTGTGTTTTTTTGTGTGTGTGTGTGTGTGTAATGGGCGTGACCTAGTTGTACTCTATCATAGTGGTTTACAAGTCTTAAAGGAGGCCTATTATGCAAAAAAAGAAAGAAAAAAAAACACTTAAAAGGGGTTGTGTGGCAAAAGTGTGTGAATATAGCCAGCTGATAATGATAAAAATGTATTCATGTTATTTATTATAGTCACACTTAATTAAAACAGTCTGCAGAAACACTTTGATTGACATTCTCCATTTGTACGTGTCATCAGAGGGGGAAAGCCCCGCCCACTAGTGACCATCTCTCATTCATTAACATAGGATGATAGGAGCTTATGGCTCGTTTCCACTGACTGGTACAGTACGGTACGGTTCGGGTCGGTATGGGTCACTTTTATCAGGCTTGCGTTTCCACTAGCAAGGGTACCCTTTTGGTGGGCGTGGTGTATGACAAAGTTTCAGTCGACGTCATTTTCGCTCGAGAAAATGTCTACAATAAAGCTGCACAGGTCGTTCACATATCATATGAAAAGCACTTCTCACAAAACAGAGGCTTTACATACATAAATACCTGTGTATAAATGTTTATTAGTAACTTTTCTATGAACAGGAGTTGTTTATAACTGCAGATCAATGACGGTGCGAAATAGCCTACTGTAACGTCTGTAATTATATTAAATAAATAAATAAATGAACATATATGAACACATACAGACCCTTACAGTCCTCGATATGTTACCAACTACAGAAGAACTACACAAAGCAGACATTTCGTGATTAATTAGGTTCAAAACAACACAAAGTATAGCCTACAGTCAGTGAAAACCTCTCATCTGTGTCTTTAATCTTCAGCAGCACATGTCATGTAGCCTCTGTTAGAGAGTCATTCCATCATTCCCAGTTCATTTTAGTCCAAAAGGTGATAATAAAGATTAAAACAAGGCAGTTTGTTCACGTTTCCTAAAGAAATTACGTGCTCCTTGGCTTCGCCTTTTTTTTCCGCTCTCCACTCTCGCGTTTGTCCTTTTCTTTCTGAATGTGTCACTCTCGTTTGTCAGCTTCTTACAGGATCGGGTTTCCAAAAGCTTGTCAATAATCAAGTGCATGTTATTATCATCAGCTCAAGAAGTTTGTTATTTTAGATAGAGACGTGCGGCGAGCACAAGGAAGAAAGCGAAACCACTCGGGCAGCTGGCTCGTAAAAAAGAACGCGGCACAGGGTAAATCCCCTCTTCTCCATGGCTTTGTGGCTGTTTATTATGACGACGACAGGGTTTGTTTGCAGGATCGACCATGGCTGCATGTATATATAATTCAGCTGTAATTTCTCGCTGTGTATTTCAAACATGAAGGGTCCTTTGTTTACATTCTGGCTTGTTGCGTCTACGAATGACGTATCTCTGTAAACCAACAGCGTTCAGTTGCGCATGTAGCTCCACCTTTTGGGAACGGCCATAAAAGCGTACCAAACCGAACCGTACCGTACCGTACCACTCAGTGGAAACGGGCCATTAGTCTTGTTTTTAAATCTGCCACTATGCTGACACAGACATTTGTAGCTCCGCCCTCTTTTAAAAAGAGCACAATCTCATTTGAATTTAAAGCAAACAGGCATAATTAGGCTCAAAGCCTAAAAGGGTCAGTTTTAGAGTGTTATAAAACATTATCTGTGTGGTATTTTAAGTTGAAACTTCACTACAGACTCTAAGGACATCAGAGATGTATTTTACATCTTGTATACAGAGGCATAATAGGTCTCCTTTAAGAATTTGTAGACATTTAGACTAGAAGCAGGACTAAACTAATATTTTTTTTTCCTCTTTTCGTCATAAAAACTTCATGATATGGATTATTATGAGATAAATGCGACACTGTTTTATTGCTTTTCCATTTCCATTAATAATCAGAAGGTCTTAAGGAAACAAGTGTCCAAACTTTGAACTTCAGAAAGCACTTAAAGCAGCCTTTAGGATATGAGGTCTTAAAATACATCAGATTGTGTAAAGCAAAACAAATCACTGTGAGCCTAATCCAATAACAATAACCTTTACTGTTCAAATTTCTATGATCTGAAGCTTTTTTATAAGATACTTCAGCATATATCTTATGCAAAATACGAAATCATAATCCAACTTATTCATGTAATGGAATTTTGTCTCCCTTTGTACTTGTCATCAGGGGGGGGAAAGCCCCGCCCACTGGTGACCGTCTCTCACTCATTAGCATAGAATTTTAGTCTTGTTTTTAAATCTGTCACAACGCTGACACACATGCATTGGTAGCTCCGCCCTCTTTTGAAAAGAGCACTGTCTCATTTGAATTTAAAGCGACAGTCACCAAAACTCCACAATTAGGATCAAAGCCTAAAAGGGTCAGTTTCAGAGAGTTATAAAACATGATTTGTGGGGTATTTGGAGCTGAAACTTCACTGCGGACTCTAGGGAAATAAGAAACTTATTTTAAAGTTTTATAAAAAGTGGCATAATAAGTTTGCTTTTTACTGTATAAAATACATAATACCTATGGAGAGTCCCTGTAAACCACAAATACCAATGTGTCTGTGTATATGTGTGTGTTCAGGTGGGTGGGATTTTGCCGTTCGGGAATGGATCCTGGATTAACATCTATGTTGACCCTTGAACATCATTCCTGTTCAAAAATATCATCCAATTCCCTCCAACACACACATTCTGCATACTTCCTATATATACTTTTTTCATGTCAGACATTAGTTCTAATTCATCAAGTGCCCTGCAAAATGGACTCCACAGGATGATCAACCATGATTTCAGTTTGAAGGGAACATATATGTTACATTCTAATGGACTGTAGTGTGTGATATGTTGATGTATATTGTATTTATTTACAGAGGTATTTTACTGTATGTCACTCTTCACACTTCTTTAGTTAGACATTGTTGATAAAATCTGTGAACAAAGTAAAGTGAAATAAAGGTCTCTAGTGGTCCGGTACACTGAAGAAAAAAAAAAAAAACATTCAAAGATGATTCCTTGGATTTACTAAATGATTTTAGGTTAAGTGGTTGTAAAAAATTTATTTGGGCTGAATTTGAACAAACAAATTAAGTCGAACATTGCTAAATTTAATGCAGTTGTTTAAATTCAACCTGTATACATTTTTTGCAACAAATGTAGAAAATATTTTTTGTGTTAAGGACAATGAAGGAGTAGGCAATAGGGAAGAATGCTGACTGCGTAGGGAATGTGTCAATCAGAACACATGAATCTCTTCTAACGAGCTATCTAAATCACAACCCGGGCTCATTCTGGAAACGTAGCCCCGCGGACATTTCTGGAGACCGCGAAATACGTCCCGAGAGGTACGTATTTGTGCAGTTTTTGTTTTAGCGAATTTGCAAGCGCGCTGTTTTCACGTAAAAAGCTGCCGAAGGCCTTTGTCGAGAGACCGTCTGTCCGACTGACCGACTGGCTGAATGACTGAACAATTGACTGGGCGGCCGGCCAATTGGGTGACCTGGCCGACCTCCTCCTCCTTCTTCTTTAAACCCAAGCGACGATTTACGAAAGCCGTGCAGAAAAAGAAAAGCCCTCATCCGATTTTGACGTGTTAAAAACTCGCTCTCTTTATTTTTTGGATTCTGTTTTTTGTCTTACCTAATTTCTGGAACCGCTCTTCCCTGGACTCGAACCCGACTCGAATGCTGCCGGCTACTCCTCCTCCTCCTCCGAGCCTCCGCTCCGCCGACGTAACACAACGAGCTAACCGGACAAACTGGTTGTGACAGAAAGCCCTCCACACGGAGGAGGCGACCCGTCAGCCCAGCCGGCTAGCACGAAGACGATCGGTGTCACACCACCCCGCAGCGGTCACTTGAAAAAATTAAATGCGGCCATACGTACCTCCAGCCACGTCAATCGCGGTCTCCAGAAACGTCCGCAGGGCTACGTTTTCATAATGAGCTTGGGTTGCTAAATCAGCTGGGTCAAATAAGAGTGAGCAAAATATGCAGAAGGCTGTCCTAACTGTAAATCATTCCCAAAATCTGAGGGGATAAATAGATAACATGATGTACACTGTAAAAAGTGATTAGTTGACTTTTCTTAATTTACTTAATTACTTTAAAATTATTAAGTAAACAACTGCATATGTGCATAATTATAAAAGTTAGGCCAATTGGTTTGCTGACCTTTTTAAAGTGAAGTCAACTTGTTGCTTCTAAGGCTTACTGTCTTTTTTACAGTACAGTACAGTAACTAATCCTGTAGAAGCACATAACGCTAAACCTGTAAACTTAACATTAACTGCAATTGGCTGATTAGGATATTGATCCAGGATCAACATAGATGTTCACACAGGAACATGACTTACTTGGTGAAATGAGACTAACCGTGTGTATACGCTCATGCCTAATGTCCTTTCCTGTTTGCACAGGAAGCGCACGTCTCCCTCAGCTAAAGATGAGCACTCAGCTGGAGTTAAAGATCACCTGCTGGCTCATTCGTCAGATCCAGTGGAGATGAGGAGGCTCAACTACCAGACACAAGGTACAACAATAAGACCTGCAGACTTCTGTTGGATACTGAGCTTATGTGTTATGCCTTTTTTATACTAAGCAGTACGGTACAGTTTGGTACAGTACAGTATGATCTGGTTCAGGCAAAGACTAGCTGTCTTTATATGTATCTGTCATAACATTATTTATCAATATGTGGACATTTTTGGATTTTTGGAAGCTATCGCAGTTAAAAATCTATCTATATAGTATGTTAGAACGTTTAATACTGTTGACATCCCTTAAAATGGTCTACTACAATCAATGTTGAACAAATGGTTGCCAGAAATTCATTTTATAAAAGCAAAACAAAACAGTGACAGTGTTTCCTATTTTACGTTGTCATATTAATGTATATTTCCCAACTTTACAACTAAATTTCATTAAATGATACATTGTTATTATACCAAACCATATGAATCTAACCAAAATGCCAAAAAATAATAATAATAAAATAAAATAAGCATTTTCTGAAGTGAAATCAATCAAAATGTAAAGTTATTTTACTTATAAAATGTTAACTAAACTTATAATGGATAATTAAAAAGGAATAGATATATAGATCAGATGTATATCGATCAGATGGATGGATGGAGTACTAGAGGGATGAGTGGATGTATATATGGAGGGGTGGGTGGATGAATGGATGGATGGATGGAACACTAGATAGATGAATGGTCAGTTAGATGGATGAATGGTCAAATGGATGGAAATCTAGATAGATAGATAGATAGATAGATAGATAGATAGATAGATAGATAGATAGATAGATAGATAGATAGATAGATAGACAGACAGACAGACAGACGGACGGACGGACGGACGGACGGACGGACGGACGGACGGATGGACGGACGGACGGACGGACGGATGGATGGACGGACGGATGGGCGGGTGGATGGATGGATGGATGGATGGATGGATGACTTGGTGGGTGGTTGGATGGCTTGGTGGGTGGATGGATGGATGGATGGCTTGGTGGGTGGTTGGATGGCTTGGTGGGTGGATGGATGGATGGATGGATGGATGGATGGATTACTAAATGAATGGATAACTAGGATGGATGGATGGATGGATGGATGGATGGACAGGCAGGCGGATGGATGGCTTGGTGGGTGTGTGGATGGATGGATGGATGGATGGATGGATTAAATGGATGGATAACTAGATGGATAGATAACTAGATGGATGGATGGATGGATGGATGGATGGATGGATGGATGGATGGATGAATGGACGGCCGGGTGGTTGGGTGGTTGGGTGTATGGATGGATGGATGGATGGATGGATGGATGGATGGATGGATGGATGTAGGCAGGCGGGCGGATGGATGGCTTGGTGGGTGGGTGTATGGATGATGGATGGATGGATGGATGGATGGATGGATGGATGGATGGATGGCTGGCTGGATGGATGGTTGGATGGATGGATGGATGGATGGATGGATGGATGGATGGATGGATGGATGGATGGATGGACGGACGGGCAAGCAGATGGATGGGTGGGTGGGTGGATGGATGGATGGATGGATGGATGGATGGATGGATGGATTACTAAATGGATGGATAACTAGATGGATAGATAACTATATGGATGGATGGATGGATGGATGGATGGCGATGGATGGATGGCTTCGTGGGTGGTAGGGTGGGTAGATAGATAGATAGATAGATAGATAGATAGATAGATAGATAGATAGATAGATAGATAGATAGATAGATAGATAGATAGATAGATAGATAGATAGATAGATAGATAGATAGATAGACAGACCCTTTGTGGTTTTGTATATAATAATTGTATTTTTATTTATTATTAAATAATGATTTTATTAGCCGTACATTTAGCAGTTAATTACTGTAAAAAGATTCGCTATTAGCTAAACATTTGCCTATTTTTCTAACTTACAACTTTATTATTTGTTTCTTTTGCCAAATGTGCAAATCACAAACATGTTTTCATATTGTAGCGGTTTTATGTTTGCCTATAGTTCAAAACTGTTCCATTAGGCACAAGCAAACACAGCTCTGACAAAACCTGTGATGAAATAGTCCGAGATTGTTTCTTTTCTGAGCTGTAATGGACATTTCTCTCCAGCCGTCTGATACACATTCTCAGCTGCTTTGAAGATGCGTGTGATTCTGGCTCAGGACGCGGTTTGAAAGCATCATCAGGATACTGCACATCACCTTTTGTAACACAAATATCTGTGATGCTTGAAAATGCTCGCTAGAACTTGGGAACTCTTTACAAAATGCATGAGATCGAGGTTGTTTGGATGTAGACCTCAGAAAGAGAGAGACTGGATTTATGGATCTGAGGTTCAGCTGGAGTTTCAGTGTGAAGACAAAGCATTATTCACAGAGCCGCACTGTCAGGTGAAGGACACACACACACACACACACACACTCACATCAAATCATACACTTCAGACTGAGCTTTAGAATTAAACCAGATGATTCACAGAAGAAAATCTTTCTCATCCATATTTTTCTTCTTCTCCCTCTGTCTTTTTCTGTTTCACTCTCTCTCTTTCTCTGTCTGTCTCAGGGGAAATTTGCGAATTCTCAAACGTTTTGCTGACTTCAATAAGAATCTGCTTTTGCTTCACTGGCAAAGTGACTCATGTTCTTATGTCAGATTGTGGGGTTGCGAGCACACACTCGGCTGATGCGCCATCTTTCTCATGGCCAAATATTCCTGTCAAATTCTCTGCCATGAAAACCGATTTTCCTTGCTTGCGAATCTTCAGATAAGGAAACCGAGGTCTAGTGCTGTTGTTTATTTACTTCTGAAAGTTCTGACTCTTTGTTTCACAGTTTGGATATGGAAAATGGCTTACATCACAGCTACAGTACCGTGTGTGTGTGTGCTGTAGGTGTGTGTTTGATGTTTGAGGGAAAGCGTTCGAAAAGACATCCTTGACTTGAACTCAATTCCTACTTTGGATTTTTAACAGTAAATAAGATGATACACAAGGCAACACAATGGCTCAAAGATTAGCACTTTCGCCTCATATCAAGAAGGTCACTGGTTTGAGTCCCGGCTGGGTCAGTTGAAGTTTGCATATTCTCCCCATGGTGGCGTGGGTATCCTCTGGGTGCACCGGTTTCCCCAGAGTCCAAACAAATGCGCTATAGGTGAATTGAATAAACAGAATTGGCCGTAGTGTATGTGTGTGAATAAGTGTGTATGGGTGTTTCCCAGTGCTGGGTTGCAGCTGGAAGGGAATCCGCTGTTTAAAACATATGCTGGATAAGTTGGTGCTTTATTACACTGTGGCGAGCCCTGATTAATAACGGGACTAAGCTGGAGGAAAATTAATGAATGAATGTGTTACAAAAGATGCCATTTAAAAATCCTGTTATGTTGACATGCTAAAGTCTACAAAGACCTGGATTTCTGAATCGAGAGCTTTACTTTTATTTTGCAAAGTTGCAATAAACTGTTCAAAAGTGGAGTCGAGACTTTTGGAATGTTATTAAAGTGTTTTTTTTAAATAAATGCTGTTTTTTTAAATGTTTAATTCATAAAAATGTTGAAAAAATTACAATCTTATAAATGCACTGAATGTTTGGCTATCGAAAGATATTTAAAAAAATGTTTTGGTATTGGACAAATATATGAGCTGAAAAAAGGCTATACTTGACTTTTCTCCAGCTTTAATCACTGTGAAGTGTGAAGCAGCTTTCACACCGGACACGGAAAGTGCTGCGCTATGAATCCCATTCGTTTCTATTTAGTATACGTGTTGCTTGTAATAATGCTACTGTGCTGTTATGCCAATACTGGTAAAATGACTCCTCTCCACTTGTTTACTGTCAATTTAATGTGTTTATTGTATTGGTTTGTGTTTTTTTATTATTAAAGTTATTAAATACAATTTTAAAAGTCTTACAAAATTACATTAATTGTTACAAAACATTTTCATATTACGCATTCTGAGAACATTGATTTGAAATTGCAGTTACGTAGCTTTACTATTATTCTGAAAAATTGTAGTAAACTGTTTAAAAGTGCAGTCAAGACATTTGGAATGGTATTAAAGTGTTTTATTTAAAATAAACGCTTATTTTTAATGCATTATTTTTTAATGTTTAATTCATTAAAATGTTTGAAATTGGTAATATTTTAAATGAACTGAATATTTAATTATTGTAAATTTTCGGACAAATATATTAGCCTTAAAAAAGGCTGTGCTTGACTTCTCTCCAGCTTTAATCACTGTGCAGTGTGAAGCAGCTTTCACACCGGACAGTGAAAGTGCTGCCCTATGAATCCCATTCATTTCTATGTAATATACGTGTTGCTTGCAATAGTGCTACTGTGCTGTCATGGCAGCACCGCCTCTTCACTTGTTTACTGTCAATTTAATGTGGTTATTGTGTTGGCTTGTTTTTTATTATTAAATTTATTAAATTAAATTTTAAAAAGTCTTACAAAATTACATAAATTGTTACAAAACATTTTCATATTACACATTTACAGAATATTAATTTGAAATTGCAGTTTAGTAGTTTTACTTTCCTTTTGCAAAATTGCAATACACTTTTTAAAAATGCAGTAAAGACATTTGGAATATTATTAAAGTGTTTTATTTTAAATAAATGCTGTTAAATGAATTTTAGATTCATCAAAATTTTGAAAAAAAGAATGATCAATGTACTGAATATTCGGCTATCTTAAATTATTGTGCAAAAAGGACAATTTTGGGTTTCGGACAAACATGTGAGCTGAAAAAAAATGGCTATACTTGACTTCTCTCCAGCTTTAGTCACTGTGCAGTTTGAAGCAGCTTTCACACCGGACACAGAGTGTGCTGCACTATGAATCCCATTCATTTCTCTGTAGTATGCATTGATTTGAAATAGTTTTTCTTTTGGAGAAAGTCTTATTTGTTTTATTTCGGCCAGAATAAAAAGCAGTTTTTATTTATTTTTTTTTTTATTCAATATTATTAGTCCCCTTAAGCAATGTTTGTTTTTGATAGTCTACAACACAAACCATCGTTATACAAGGACTTGCCTAATTACTCTAACTTGTCTAATTAACCTAGTTAAACCTTAAAATGTCACTTTAAGCTGAACACTAGTATATTTTAAAATAATTCAAAAAATATTATGTGCTGTCATAAAGGCAAAGATAAAAGAAATCAGTTATTAGAAATGAGTTATTGAAACTATTATGTTTAGAAACGTGTTAAAAACAATTTGGGAAAAACTGTAGATGGGGGACTATAAATAAGGAGGGCTTCAACTATATAATTTCGCTAGTTTAATCTAATTGCATGGGAATAACCAGTAATTTAACTAACTATTTTATAATGCACCAAACTAATTACGTCATGTTACATATTATCAGGTAAACTATTTCAAGTGCTCTTCATGGGCTTTTCTCTTTTGCTCTTTACACATCACTCCTCTCTCTTGTGTAAGTGACATACAGTATATTTCTCACAGTCGCTGCTCATCTTCTTTCTGCAGGTTCCAGTGCCTTCAACTGTCCCAGCACTTCAAGTTAGTTTTTGCTCTTGCGTTTCACTTCCTCCATCTCTATGCTCCTCCCACCTGTCCATCAAGAACCAAAGCCACGCCCCCTCCACCACTCTGGCTGCTGTCAGTTAAAGCTTCACCATGTCTCACGTCCTTCTCCACAGGCCGTCCGTCCGTCTCAAACACGGGATGGGAGGGAAAGCAATAAGTGTTTTTTAATGTGCGCTCAGGTTGTAGTCCCTTGCTGATGTCATTTACATGCCATTTTGACTGTACAGGGCAGCTTATGCCACCTTTCGGAAGCGGTTCATATGTATCAGCTAATGAGCATGTCCGTTCACTGCTTACATCACCACAGCTACTCTTAGCACAAAGCATGGTGCTACAAGCTTTTTGCGCAAACTACTCTCATTATTTGGGTTGTTTTCATGTATGTCCATCTTCCTAAAAACTGGAAAGTGTGTTTGGTCCCCACAGTTCAGCCAAGCAAAACAAAGCAAGCCAATAGAAATCTCTGCTATCAGTTCATGCTCTGTTTTTGTCTGCAGGAATGCGGGAACACCCTCCAGTGTCTGTGTGTGCTTTGGCTGACCACATCGAGCGGCTGAGAGCCAACGACAGCCTCCGCTTCTCGCAGGAGTATGAGGTAAACCAGCCAGAGTCACGTTAGACAATCCGAAGTCTAAACCTTCTGCTGAGCTGTCCTTCTGTCCCCTAGAGTTAAGGAGATGAATTTCACTATTTTTTAATCCCTTCAGCCAAGTTCCAGGTCTGGTTGGAACACTTTTAGCTTAGCTTAGCATAAATCATTGAATCGGATTAGACCATTAGCATCTCGCAAAAAAAACCTTAAAAACAGGAGTTTCAATCAGTTTTCTATTTAAAGCTTGACTTTTCTGTATTTACATTGCGTACTAAGACCAGCCAGAGTCACATCAGAGAGTCCATCTAAACCTTAAGCTGTCCTTCTGAAAAAAAAAAACATAGTGCACTAAAACCAACGGATAATGGAGAGTTGCTATTTTCAAAAAATGTCCCCTAGCCGAGAGTTAAAGAGATGAATTACTCTATATTTAAATCCCTTCAGCAAGTTCCAAGTCTGGCGGGATCACTTTTAGCTTAGCTTAGCAAAAATCATTGAATCGGATTAGACCATTAGCATCTCGCTCAAAAAAAAAAAAGTTTTGATAATTTTTCTATTTAAAGGTTGACTATTCTGTATTTATATTGTGTACTAAGACCAGCCAGAGTCACATCTGAGTCCATCTAAACCTTCTGCCGAGCTGTCCTTCTGTTAAAGGATCACTTCACTTTTTTTAAAAAAAAATAGGCTCATTTGATGAATTTGATCATTTTTGAATCCATTCAGCGTATCTCCAGGTTTGGCGGGATTACTTTTAGCTTAGCTTAGCATAAATCATTGAATTAGATTAGACCATTAGCATCTCACTCAAACATTTCAAAAAAGAGTTTTGATATTTTTTTTTAATTTACAGCAAATATAGTGTACTAAGATCAATGGAAAATGAAAACTTGCTACTTTCTAGGCTGATATGAATAGGAAATATATTCTTATTCTGTCCTTCTGTTTTAAAAAAGTTACCTAGTGTTAAAAAGGTGAATTTCACTATTTTTGAATCCATTCAGCCGAGTTCCAAGACAGGATCACTTTTAGCTTAGCTTAGCATAAATTATTGAATCGGATTAGACCATTAGCATCTCGTTCAAAAGTTTGAAAAAAGAGTTTTAATGTTTTTTCTATTTAATGCAAACAGTGTACTAAGACCAATGGAAAATGAAAAGTTGCTGTTTTCTTGGCCAATATGGCTAAGAACTTTACTCTCATTCTGGTATATACTGATCAAGAAACTTTACTGCCGTACCATGACTTTACTTATTTTATAATAGTAATTATTATGGAATTTAGCAATTTAATTTAAAAACAGGCTCATTGAAACTACAAAAAAAAAAACTTACTTAAACATACATTTGACCACAGTTTCTTGGTAAAATGACTGCTTTGGTGCAACATAACACCAACAACTTTTGTTACTTTTCCTCATGATATCTTATTGAACATATGATTAATGAATAATAATTCATTTTTTGTGCAGTCCTTAGTACAACACCAAATAAATACCACCAAACAACTTTACACATTTGAGAGTTTTTTACTTTTAACCTGGTGAAGCACTCGCTCAAAAAAAAAAGCTTTAAAAAATAGTTTCCATTTAAAGCTTTACTCTTCTGTATTTACATTTTTCTGTATCACTTCGCTTAAAACAATTGGCTTATTTGATTAATTTTACCATTTTTTAAATTCATTCTACCTATCTCAGAGTCTGGCGGAAACACTTGTAGCTTAGCTTAGCATAATTCATCGAATCACTCTTCCACATAAGATATAAATTCAATGTAAAATCAAGGTAAAGCTAGGTGCTTGCAGTGCACATTTCTCTTAAGTTTGCTTCTGAAAACACTATTAGTTGGGTTTAGGGATGGGTTCAGGTCAGTGGTTCGCCAAAAGAAGGTCTATCTGACAAAATCTGTCCTAAGTAGCATATTTCAGATTTGCAAAAATGTACACAGCGCCCTCTAGTGGATTTGTCATCTGAAACGTGCAATGAAATGTACCCGGATCAACGTATTTGAAAAATGTAGACTGAGGCACATATTTACAATGAGCCTGGGCTGGAATTTACTGTTGCAATGCCAGAATATTAGGAATAGTAGTTAATAGATAATAGTAAATGTCGTTTTATGCAAAGAGATACACAAATTACATGTCATGACCAGATTGATGTTCCCCAAAGTTCTCTAAACCAGCGGTTCTCAAACCTTTTTCATCAAGTACCACCTCAAAAAAAAATTATCTCTCCAAGTACCACCATAATGAGCAGTATTGAAATACAGGAGCGTAGTAGGCCCGGTAAAGTAACTACAACTCTGCACAGTTCAAAAACATGGCAAATTAATTTCTATTTTTAAGAATATTTACTATTGTCACTATTATAAAAAGTCTAAACGTTAACACTGTACTGTGCTTATAGGTCAAACGAACAAGCAAAAAAACTAAAAATGTCAAAATATTTAAAATTAAAATGTGCTTTTAAAAGTAAAAAATGGTAGATTACTGTTCTTAAAAAGTAAAATAAAACCTGCTGTACTTAAATGTAAAGTATTAACATATAGTAGCCAATACATCAAAACCTGGGGATGTTGCTTGGACCTCATAAACATAGGCTATATGTCATCACAATGATGTATAAATCATTTTTGATCATTTTTAAAATATATGTAGCATATGACATGTTTAATTCCTCCGCGTACTACTAGAAGGAAGCTTGCGTACCACTAGTGTACACGTACCACAGTTTGAGAACCACTGCTCTAAACTAAAGCCAAGACAATACAATTGAACTGCTACTTTAGAGCCAGATCTTGTGTGTGTGTGTGTGTGTGTGTGTGTGTGTGTGTGTGTGTGTGTGTGTGTGTGTGTGTGTGTGTGTGTGTGTGTGTGTGTGTGTGTGTGTGTGTGTGTGTGTGTGTGTGTGTGTGTGTGTGTGTGTGTGTGTGTGTGTGTCTGTATGTGTGTGTCTGTATGTGTGTGTGTGCAGAGTGAATCAGAGTGTCAGGAAAGGCCTGATGCTCTGACCACTCCATCACAGACAAACAGCTGAATGCGTCCACTTCACAATCTCGGAAAGATTATACGAATGTGAACATCCCTTGTTCAGCAAATACTGCCGTGCATTATTCAAATGTGCTGAAATGACAGAAAAAAAACTACATCTACTCAACACTACAGCTTACAGGCACACACACACACACACATTCACGTCAGCATCTCAGGCAGTGCCCAGATCGCCAGAGCTTGAAATTAAAGCTGGGAAACGACTCTATTAGGAGTGTAGTGAGTGTGAGAGTCACCTGCTTTATTAGACAGCTAATCCTGAAGAGCGTGTGTGTGTGTGTGTGTGTGTGTGTGTGTGTGTGTGTGTGTGTGTGTGTGTGTGTGTGTGTGTGTGTGTGTGTGTGTGTTTCTGTGTGTGTGTGTGTGTTTGGGCGGGTCTCTTCTTCCTGCTTGACTTGTTATTGTATGGTGAGCAACTCTTCTGAGTACTTAAACAATCAAGAGCTTAATAAAGACATCAAATACTGAGGGAGCAACAGTGATCTAATCAAACGGCAAATCACTCACATTAAACTGCAATACGGAAGAAGCTAAGAGGATAAACAGATAAAGACAGACTAATGGGAAGGGAATTGTGCACGTATTACGTTTACTGTCTAAAAGTGTAGGGTTTTAATAGATTAAAAGCGACCTCTGGTGGATGGTAGCGACCTCTGGTGGACTGTAGCAGCCTTTGAAACGAGACACAGATTCAGAGTTCCACATGAGGTGGAACCATGGCGTGACGTAACTGACTCTTAAATTGAATGTGAGATGAGACTCTGATTGGTTTAATGCACATTGTTCAACACACACCCAAAACTTATTAAGAGAATAAGCACAACCCTGTTATACCATGCGCCATGGTGCAAACCGTATTTGTCCGTCCTTAAAATCGCAAAAGTGTATTCAGACATACCTTTAATGCGTTTACGCTTCAGACTTTGCGCCTAGATCATTAAAGGGCCATGAAACCCCCTCGTTTCAGCAGGGTGTTTTCACACCTCTACTTTGGAAAAAGTCAGAAAAGTGGGCGTGTCCAGCTCTGTTTAGGGGGGATTGTCGGAGGAAGAAAAGAGGCTTGGTGTGGGAGTGTCTATTTGGGCGCGCTGAGTTTCAGAGTTAAAATACACACACAGGGGACAAAGTGACTGTGTTTACATGGACATCTGTGGTCGAATTATTTGCCAAATTATTAAATGTTGGACTTTAACTGCAGTTCTGCAGTAAATGCACTCAGGTAATTCATTCATGTCCCTCACGACAAACGTGATATTTGATTCGAGAAGCTGCTCTAAGCGTGTATTTTTCATGCAATGTTTGATACCGCACGGCGAATGAGAGAAAAAAAAACTCTGCATTTCCAGGAAACTTAGATGCACACGGCAGGTAGTGTCAGAAAGCCGCGTGTGTTATTCCGGTCACAAAATCCAACACGAGGTTATAGTTTGGTTGTAACTGTTAGTGCTAACTTGTTTGCATTCGGTGCAATAGTTTGTTTGATACGAATAAAATACAAACTGAATAAACAAAGAGCACTGGTCGCTCACTTACCCAATCTGTAGAGACAGGACAATCCACAGCAACTAGAGCCGCGTCTTTATTTAGAGGAGACTAAAGCGAATCCAGATCTTTTTTTTGTTTGCAGATGAGAACAGCTCTCAGGTAAACAATGTTCCTCCTTAGACACGTAAGTTATTGTTGTCGAGCGTCGCGTACACTGTTAATCCACACGTGACTCCAGCTGCGCTCTCACAGAGAGAAAATGAAAACGAAACTTAACTGCAGCAAACTATTAAAGCAACACTTTACGCTTGTTTTGCCAATACAACGTGGCGTCTCTGCCATCTACACTCTGACAGTAATGAATATTAATGAAGTTGCACAATAGAGCGCGCTGATTGGTTTGAACCAAGCCTCACTCATGCATTAATGCGTCACACTGTAAGACGTAATAAGACACACTCTGGCAC